CCGACAAAAAAAAAAAAAAAGCAGAGTAGGGTGCTGAGATTTTGCACGCATCCCTCCCTCCCCCCCTCCTCGTTTCCCTAAGGCAAATGCTTCCTTCTACCCTGCTGGTCCCAACGGAATGAGATCTTTATCCTAGAACTGCAGACTGCAATTCCCGCTCAACCTGTTTGTTCACTTGGCTTGTGTGCCTCTGAGTCCTTAGGGCTTGAACTCAGGGCCTGGGTGCTGTCCCTGAGCTTTTTTCACTCTTTTTCTCTACCACTTGAGCCCCAGCTCTACTTCCAGCTTTGGATGGTTTACTGGGGATAAGAGTCTCACGGACTTTCCTGCCCTGGCTGGCTTCGAACCAACCATCCTGAGATCTCAGCTTCCTGAGTAGCTGGGATGAGAGGCATGAGCACCAGTGCCCAGGCTGTTTGTTGACTTCTGAGCTCTCTGTTGCCTCTGTAGCACCGTTTGTGCTCAAGGCCTCCCAACCCGGTCCCTGTGATGCCAGAATCCAGCCCAGATCCCAAGACCCCACCAGCCCAGGGCCCCACTGCCCCAACCCCGGGCCTGCATGCACATCTCCCCTCCGGTCAACTAAATACCTAATCGGTTTTATAATTTTATTATGATTTTTGCTGTTGTTGCTGTGCTAGTACTAGGGCTGGAACTAAAGAGTAAAGGAGCATCATTCTTGAGGAAGAGAACCCAGTTCAAATCCTAGTACAGGCATGCTCTTGGATGAGTGCATGTGCACAGCCTCCTGTTTGCAGACAGTGGTGGCTGCCCCTCCCCCTCCCTTCCCCTCCCCCTCCCCTTCCCCCCTGCCCTTTGCCACCTGCCTCCGCTCTCTCAGCCCAGGAAGGGCACCCTGCCAGCTGGGAATTCACAGTAATGAAAAGGCCCCTGCAGAGTGCTTTACATATTTATTACACATTGATTATAAACACACTCATGCATTATAAATACATCCATTCATGCACACAGGAGGGCAGGGCCCTGTGGTCCAAGCTACTGGGCCTGTCTGCCATCGTTTCTTCTGTGGCTGGAGTTCTGGGAGGTGAAACTCAAGTGACAGGACCTCAGGGGACGGCTGCTGCCTTGGCTAGCTGGTGTCCGGGCAGATAACACTACTTTCCAGAATGTTTCTTCCTGTACTGAGAGGGAGAGAGAAATGCCAGGGTCATGGGCGGTCAGGGCCCAAGGTGGAGGCGTCCTGGGGCACATGGGGTCCCAGGATGGTCTCGTGGGCGTGCAGCATTGTCCACGACCTCTCCACTCTCCCCTCCTTTTTCTGCCAGTCATGAGGCTCAAACTCTGGGCCTAGACGCTGTCCCTCAGCTCTTCAGCTCAAGGCTGGCGCTCTACCACTTGAGCCACAGTGCCACTTCTGGTTTTCTGGTGATTCATTGGAGATCAGAGTCTCACGGACTTTCCTGTCCAGGCTGGCTTTGAACCGCGATCCTCAGGTCTCAGCCTCCTGAGAAGCTCAGATGACAGGCGTGAGCCACCGGCAACCTTGCTACTACCATTTTTCTTTTCTTTCTCCCCATGGATCATGATGGTGAAATCCACCCACACTGCTGTGCGGGCTTCTAGTTAGTTCTACAGGGAAAGTATTTACTGCCATGACAGCATGTGATAACCGGGGCATGGCAGCACAACCTGTCACCCCAGGTCCTGGGGAGGTGGAGGCAGGAGGCGCCAGAGCTTGAGACCCGCCTGGGCCACATAGCAAGATCCCCCCTCTCAAAACAAAACCACACAAAACCCAGGGACCAGACGTTGTGCCTACCTTCTCCCCTCCCCGCAGGGCCGGGGGGCAGGCAGGCGGCTGGGGTAGGTGTTGGGGGACGTGGAGATGGGGTGGAGGCAGTAGATGGAGGAGTCCTCACAGCAGCCGAAGTGGACGACCCTGTGACCCCCATGATGGCCCTCGTGCATGGGGCACACTCGGAGCTGGTACGCGGGTGTGGCACCATGGGTGTAGACCAGAGCTGGCCCGAGGGCGGCATGCAGGGCATCGGACGTGGGTAGCATGGGTGGCGTGGGTGGTGGTGGCGGCGGTGGCGTGGGCGGTGTGGTTGGTGAGGAAGGTGACAATCTCTCCACCACCTCAGTCTTCCCAGGGCTGACCTTGGCGCTGACCTTGGCCACCTCCCTGGGGAAGAGCTGGGGCCGGGCTGCATAGATGCCACAGTTTAATTTCTTTAGTTTTGCCCGGTGGTTCTTGAACCACACCTGCATGGGAAGATACCCCACAAGTGGGGGTTGGGGGGCATTTCAGAGGCTTGTTTTTCCCCCTCCCCCTGCCCCGAGTGCCGGAGTCCTGGGCCAGCTCTGACTCTACTTACCTTTTCCTGAGAACTAGCCTGAAAGACATATCTTATTTACCTATTTCTATTTTTTTGTGGCAGTCCTTTGGCTTGAACTCAGGGCCTGCATGCTGTCTCTTGAGCCTTGTCTGCTCAAGGCTGGTTCTCTTATCACTTGAGCCATGGTTTTACTTTAACCTGCTTTGTGCTGGTTAATGGAAGACGAGAGTCTCATGGACTTTCCTACCCAGCCTGGCTTTGGATCTCCATCCTCAGATCTCAGCCTTCTGAGTAGCTGGGATGGCAGGCGTGAGCCACTGGTGTCAGGCCGTGAGACACTGAACTCCAAGAAACCACTGAAAACCTGTAAGTGGAGCTCTGGTTCAAGTGGTAGAGCACCAGCCTTGAGCAGAAAAGCTTAAGGACAGTGCCCAGGCCCTGACTTCAAGTCCTAGGATTGACACATTCAAGAAGAAAAGTAGTTGCTTCCTGGTTCTTAATAAAAGTTTGCTTGGCCTTGCGGTGGGGGTATGGAGGTAAAGAGGGAAGGATGGCCCAAGAAATCCTGGCTGCAGCATTGAGATGGGGCTGGGAGAGTTGAAGGGGGTGCAGGACGGCAGCTGGGAGGGGGGCAGGGGAGGGTACTTCTAACCTGTAGCACCATTGGGTCCATGTTCATTTTTGCAGCCATTTCTTTCTTTTGGTGGTGGTCTGGGTACGGGTTCCTGCTGAACATGGAATTCAAAGCTTTTAGCTGATCGTCCGTGAAGATGGTTCTCTTCCTCTGGGGAAATTTCTGGGGCTTGCCTTGTAAGTAGAGAAATATAAAAGAGGCGGCCATCAATTCCATGCTCAAAACCTGCAACCTGTCAGGCACCCCCGGCTCACGCCTGTCATCCCAGCCACTGGGGAGGCTGAAGTCTGTCTGAGGATCACCGTTCAAAGCCAGCCTGGGCAGGAAAGTCCATGAGACTCTGATCTCCATTGAGCCAGACATGAGCAGCAGCAAGCTCCTACTTAAAAGGGAATGGGAACTCCCTCTAGTAGTTAAGGAGGAGGAAGATCTGGGATTTAAAGATGGCTAGCAGCCAGGCGCCCATGACTCACGCTTGTCATTCTAGCTACTCAGGGGTCTGAGATCTGAGGACCAAGGTTCAAAGCCAGCCTGGGCAGGAAAGTCCCTGAGACTTTTAGCTCCAATGAACCACCAGAAAACTGGAAGTGGTACTGTGGCTCAAAGTGGTAGAACGCCAGCCTTGAAAAAAAGAGCTGACAGACGGCGCCCAGGCCCTGAGTTTAAGCCCCTATACCCACTCTCAGGGCATCACCCTGTCTCTCCGGAGCTTGTATTGGCTTCTGAGGGACCTGATGCACCCTCCCCTGTCCTCAACCTACCGCTCACCTTGAGAAAGAACCAGGGAGCCTGACATGGTGGTGCAGGACAGAGTTGTAGCCCTCAGCTCTGGGAATAAAGCCAGGCCGCGATCATCCTGGATTTATATACTGAACAGGGCAGAGGGAGCCACACCCTTAATCCCACCTCTTTGCTGTCAACCCCTACTTCCAGTCTGATGCCACACCAGGACCCCCAGATTTTGTAGGTTGATTTCCGTGTACTGGTACCACGCACAGGGGACCTCTATCTTCACAGGGGGACCGCAGGTTCTTTCACCTTACGCGGGATTACATCCTGGCAAATGGACGGAGCCTTGAGTTCAGAGTACATCTGGTGGGGGGAAGTACCTCATACCTATAATCCAGAGGATCAAGGTTCAAAGCCATCCAGGTCAGGAAAGTACTTGAGACTCTTAACTCCAATTAGGCCACCAAAAACCAAATGTGGAGGTTGCAATTAGAGGATCAAAGTTTGAAGCCAGGGCTGGGAAGTTGGCTCAGTGGTAGAGCACTTGCCTTGCATGCCTGAGGCTCTGGGTTGGATTCCTCAGCACCACATAAGCAAAAAGAAAAAAGCCGGAAGTGGTGCTGTGGCTCAAGTGGTAGAGCACCAGCCTTGAGCTGAAGAGCTAAGGGACAGTGCCCAGGCCCAGAGTTCAGGCCCCACGACCGGACCCAAAAAAATAAAATAAAATAAAAAAGTTTGAAGCCAGCCTGGGGGGGGGGCGGGGAAAGCCTGTGAGTCTCATCTCCAATTAGCCAGCAAAAAGCTAGAAGTGGAGCTGTGCCTAAGTGGTAGAGAGGGGTGGGAATGTGGCTCAGGGGTACAGTGTTTGCCTGGCATGCATGAAGCCCTGGGTTCGATTCCTCAGCATCACATACCAAAAAAAGCCAGAAGTGGCACTGTGGCTCAAGTGGTAGAGTGCTAGCCTTGAGCACATAGAGTCTCAGGGACAGTGCCTAGGCCCTGAGTTCAAGCCCCAGGACTGGCAAAAAAGCATAAAATAAGATACAGGAAGTAGAGGGCCAGCCTTGATTGAAAAAGAAAAAAGAATAAGTTCAAGTCCTTGAACTGACATACACACACACACACACACACACACACATTATATATATATATATATATATATATATATATATAATGTATATATTATGCATCTATATAATATATAATGTGGGAATATGCATATTATATATGGCATTCATATACATTATATAATATATAAATTATATCATATACATTATACATACTCTATATAACATAGTATATATACATGGACTGTATCATGTGTATATACATATATGTGTATTTTTTGTGTAAATGTGTGTATATGTGTATATACATACGCAGAGCTTTAGGTATTAAATAACTACAATTCAGTATCTACCTTCCTTTTGTGAAGACCTCAAAACTTACTAAAACATACTTTTTTTTCCTGATTATTTATTTTTGTCCTGGGGCTTCAACTCAGGGTCTAGGCACTGTCCCTGAGCTTCTTTCGCTCAAGGCTAGTGCTTTACCACTTTGAGACACAGTGCCACTTCTGATTTTTGAGTGGTGCATTGGAGAGGAGACTCCCAGGGACTTTCCTGCCTGGGCTGGCTTTGAACCACGATCCTTAGACCTCAGCCTCCTGAGCAGCTAGGAATACAGGCATGAGCCACCAGGTGCCCTGCTGTGATTTGTTTATTCTTTTTTTTTTTTGGTTGTGGGGCTTGAACTCTGGGCCTGGGCGCTGTCCCTCAGCTCTTCAGCTCAAGGCGAGCACTCTACCACTTGAGCTACAGTGCCACTTCCGGTTTTCTGGTGGTTTATTGGAGATAGGAGTCTCACAGTCTTTCCTGCCCGGGCTGGCTTTGAACTGCGATCCTCAGATCTCAGCCTCCTGAGTAGCTAGGATTACAGGCGTGAGCCACCAGCGCCCGGCTGATTTGTTTATTCTTGAGTCAAGATCTCATAAGCTGAGCCAGTCTGTGCCCAAACTGTGCATCCTCGGGCCTCTTCTGGGATTATAGGCTTGGATCAAGGTACTTAGGTGCTTTTCTCATGTTAATCAGCTCTTAAATGAGTTTCCAAATCTAGCAAAAGAGCATAGGCCAGTAATCCCAACTAAACTGGAGCCAAAATCTGAGGACAAAGTTCTCAGTCAGCTGGGGCTGGGTCCAAATACTTGTGATAAATCTGAATGTAACTGGGGCTTATTGTTCTGTGCTGCTGTATTTTGCTTTACATATATATATATATAGTTATATATATATAACTATATATATATAACTATATGTAGTTATATTATTAGGGAGTGTAACACTTATTAAGGAGTGTATTAGGATATTGGTAACTTTGACCTGGCTGGCCTTGTACTTAAGGACATGCTGCTTCAGCTTCCGTGGCTGTGGTTACAGGCAGACCCACTAGGTCAGGCTGGTCCTCATAATTTCAATCAAATGTCCTCAGAAGTGCTTACCTGCATGTGCAAATCACAGCTCCGGGATAAGTCTGCTTCTCAAGAGAGGAAAGCCAGAAATGAGCCTGGTGCCGGTGGCTTATGCCTGTCATCCCAGCTACCTAAGAGGCTGAGATCTGAGGATCGTGGTTCAAAGCCAGCCTAGGCAGGAAAGTCTGTGAGACTGTCATCTCCAATTAGCCAGAAAAAAACTGGAAGTGGAGCTGTGGCTCTAGTAGAGTGGTGCACACCCCCACAATACTATTTGGTGCTAGCAGGGATGGGAGCTGGGGGAGAGACCCCCAGGGTGGTATGGAAGGCCTAGGAGGGAAGATGGCTGTAATCTGCAGCCCCGGCCTCAGGAAGACCACCGGGATGTGCCCAGGGTGGTGGCATCTGGGCTGCAGGGGGTCCCAATGCCAGCTAGTTGGAGAAGCTGTCCTTATAGAGCATTTCTCTAGGGGCTGGGAAGGTGGCTCAGTGGTAGCTTGCTTGCCTAGCATGCATGAAACCCTGGGTTTGATTCCTCAGCACCACATACACAGAAAAAGCTGGAAGTGGCACTGTGGCTCAGGTGGTAGAGCACTAGCCTTGAGCAAAGAAGCTCAGAGACAGTGTCCAGACTCTGAGTTCAAGCCTCCCTCCCTCCCCCCAAAAAAATATTTCTCTGGTTTTCATTTATTAACTTTATTTGGTGCTAGTCCTGGGCCTTGAACTCAGGAAACGGGGCGCTGAGTGAGGAGCTGTCAGGTTCCCCTGGGGCCAACCCCTCCCCCGCCCCCCAGGCAAGGCCGCGAGACGGAGCTTGTCTTCCGGGCAGGGTGATAAAGGGGTCTGAGGGAGGAATCCTGGCAGACAGGCCAGCCAGCCTCATTCCGACACGCTTCGCCAGGCCTCTCTGAGGTCCGCCTGTGAGGCCTCCATCCTGCCCCGAGCCGGCTGGGGTCCCCGAGTGTCCGGAGCTGAACACGTGCAGGTGCGCAGGGCAGTAACCCACACATGTTGGGGGCCTTGGGTGGAGTGGGGGGGGAGCGTGGGAGCCTCTCAAACCTGTGCAGACAGACAGAAGCCCCCTTAGCGGGGGCCCCTCCAGATCTTTCCTGTGTGTTCCTTCATTGGGTTTCTTATTCTCAGCCTCTTGTGTAGTCAACGGGGTTCAGGCTCACAAGGAGTGCCCCCTCTCCCCCAATGGCCTGGCATAGACCCTACTTCATAGCTTCTTTTGATCTTGTGTGTGCTGGTATTGGGGGTTTTTGAACTCAGGTCCTCCTCCCTGGGTGCTTTCTTTTTTGACTTGTTTTCCCCAAAGCTGGTGCTCTATCACTTGAACCATAGCTCCACTTTCACTTTTTTGGTGGTTAATTGAAGCTAAGTGTCTCACAGACATTTCCTGCCTGGGCTGGCTCTGAACTTTTGACCCTTAGATCTCAGCCTCTTGAGTAGCTGGGATGACAGGCATGAGCCACTGGTGCCCAGCCTAAGTTATAGATGTAGCTTGTAGATGAATGACAAATTCTGGGGCCTAGACTTGTTACTGGATCTGAACTTGGAGCGGGTGGGGGTGTTGGGGCCGGAGGCGTTTGCCTCTTTAGCAGGCGGGTGGATTGCGTTAGAATGGAATTCAGGTTGCTTTCTTCCCAGTGGGGTCACAGGAATGAGGGGCATTACAGGAGGAGAAACAGTTTGACTTGGTTTCCCTTCACTACCCTAGGAGGCTGGGGGCAGGGTTTGGGTGTATCTGGAGATCTTTAGAATAAGGGCTGCAAGGCTTCTCTGTGTCCTAGTTTCTTTCTTTCTTCCTTTTTTGCCAATTGTGGGGCTTGAACTCAGGGTCTGGACACTGTCGCTGAGCTTCTTTTGCTCAAGACAGGGGCTCTATCACTTGAGCCAAGCACCACTTCTGGCTTTTTGGGTTGTTGTTTTGTTGGTCGTGAGGCTTGAACTCTGGGGTCTGGGCGCTGGCCCTCAGCTCTTCAGCTAAAGGTGAGTGCTCTATCACTTGAGCCACAGCAAGTTTTTTAAGTGGTTTATTGGAGATAGGAGTCTCACGAACTTTTCTGCCCAGGCTGGCTTTGAACCTTAATCCTCAGGTCTCAGCCTCCTGAGTGGCTAGGATTACAGGTGTGAGACACCTTAAAAGCAAATGCCTAGCATTTGCTTTTAAGACAGTCTCATTCTGCAGTCCAAGCTGGTTTCACCATCTTTCTCCCTCTGGTCCCCCATTACCAGGATTACAGACTTGTGTTGCTTGAGTAAGGCTGCTTATGAGCATGGATGTTTCCAGTCTCTCACCTCCCTGAACCTGGGAGCGCCCCCCCCATCCCCAACTCACCTCATCTTCTTTGGCCCCAGCTCCAAATTCTAATTCTGTTCCATTTCACGGGTAATGGAACAAAGCTCCAATTCCGGGCTGGGGTCTTGGGAATGTGGAGTGTGGAGCCCTGGGTTCCTCAAGCCCCCACCCCCGTGGGGGGGCGGTGAGGGTGAAGAGGGGTGGAGGGAGGGTGCAGCAGATCAACTTGGGAACATAAGCGTTTTCATGTCCCGGCCTCCCACCCTGGAGCTGCCCTGGCCAGGCACTGAGCTGGGCACTGTGCTGATATCTTCAATAATTCTTCCCACAACTTGGAAAAGTGTCCAGCCGAGCATCTGTAGCTCCCATCTGTAATCCCAGCCACTCAGGAGGCTGAGATCTGAGGATTGCAGTTCAGATCTGACCTTCGAGGTTCAAAGCCAGCCCAGGCAGGAAAGTGTGAGGTTCTTATTTACAATAAACCACCAAAAAAGCCAAGTGAGCCGGGTGTCCCTGGCTCACACCTGACATCCTAGCTACTCCGGAGGCTGAGATCTGAGGATCACAGTTTAAAGCCAGACCAGACTGCACAAGAAAGTCTGTGAGACTCTTATCTCAATAAACTATTCAGAAAAAGCCAGAAGTGGGGGGGCGGCAGGGGGAGGATGGGAAGGGGCAACAAAGGAGGAGGCTACAATGCTTGATAAGAAATGTACTCATTATCTTGCCCATGTAATTGTACAGTATTTTCACAATTAAAAAAAAAAAAGAAAAAGAAAAAGCCAGAAGTGGCGCTATGGCTCAAGTGATAGAGCTCTAGCCTTGAGTACAAAGAGACTCAGGGGCAGCGCCCAAGCCCTGGATTCAAACCCCAGGACTTGCACTTTTATTTTTTTTTGAGGGGTTGTGGGTCTTGAACTCTGGGCCTGGGCACTGTCCCTCAGCTCTTCAGCTCAAGGCTAGCACTCTACCACTTGAGCCATAGCACCACTTCCAGTTTTCTGAGTGGTTTATTGGAGATAAGAGTCTCAGGGACTTTCCTGCCCAGGCTGGCCTTGAACTACGATCCTCAGATCTCAGCCTCCTGAGTAGCTAGGATGACAGGCATGAGCCATCAGTGCCTGGCACTTGCACCCTTTTGGGTTCTGCTGTGCCCTGAAGAACCTGAGGTGGACACTGGTTCTTCAGCCCACAGTGCTGCCCTGACAGCGTGAGGACAGCCGTCCCCCAGGGGGCCAGCGCCGTCCACTCTCAGTCAGCACCGTGTCTTGTCGTGTCTCCGCAGACCTCCCCACCCTACCGAGTACCCAGGATGCCGTTTCAGGCTGTTCGCCACCTGGGCTGGAAGCTGATGCGCCGGCGGCCGCTGCAGCTGTCAGGCACCGAGAGCCCCCTGTCCCGCTGCCTCAACACCCTGGATCTGGTGGCCTTGGGTGTGGGCAGCACACTAGGGGCCGGCGTGTACGTCCTGGCTGGGGAGGTGGCCCGGGAGAAAGCTGGACCTGCCATTGTCATCTGCTTCTTGGTGGCCGCACTGGCATCCGTGCTGTCTGGACTCTGCTATGCCGAGTTTGGGGCCCGCGTGCCGGGCTCCGGCTCCGCCTACCTCTACAGTTACGTAACCGTGGGCCAGCTGCTAGCCTTCATCACAGGCTGGAACCTCATTCTCTCCTACGTCATAGGTGAGGCCTGAGTGTGTGGTGGGAAAGCAGGGGTGGAGGGTGGAGCTCAGGGTGGTCAGTACAGGGGGTCCTGGGTCACCAGGACCCAGGGGCTCTCATACCCCAGGACATGGGGACCCCAGACTCCCACGTCAGCCCACTCAGTGCTGCCTTGTGTTCCTCAGGTCCGCGAGGCCAGGGTTCCAGGTCTCAGCCATACCCTAGCCCCAAGAAGAAGCTCTGAGGGGCTAGATATTTGTCCACTGTGTGTGTGTGTGTGTGTGTGTGTGTGTGTGTATGTGTGTCTGCTGGTCCTGCAGCTTCAACTTTTTGTTCCAGGCTAGTGCTCTACCACTTGAGCCACAGCTCCACTTCCAGCTTTGTGCTCCCTTGGACACAAGTCTCTTGGATTTATCCACTTGGACTGGCTTTAAACCACAATCCTCAGATCTCAGCCTCCTGAGTAGCTGGGAGGACAGAACTCCCAGCTCCTGTTTGTCTTTTTAATTGATGCAAAAGGGTGACACCAATCAAGATACATGGTACTCACAAACTGTTGGATTGAAACTCCTTTATTTGTACAGCTACTTAAAGATAATTTTTAAAAATTGGAATAACTGCCAGGCTTTGGTGGCTCACGCCTGTAATCTTAGTTACTCTGGAGGGTGAGATCTGAGGATCACATTTCAAAGCCAGCTCAGGCAGGAAAGTCCATGAGACTCTTCAATTAACCACAAGAAAACTGGAAGTGGAGGTATGGCTTCAAAAAGGCTCAGGGACAGCAGTGGCACAGGCCCCGAGTTCAAGCCTTGAGACTGATAAAAAAATAAAAGTAATAACTAGTAACATACCCCATGGCTGCTCTCCTCTTCACTTCTGAGTGATGTGACCTCTTCTCCTGCTTCAGGCGCGGCAGGCGTGGCCCGGGCCTGGAGCGCGGCCTTTGACGGCCTTACTGGGAACCACATCTCTGATGCCCTGGTCAGCAAGTTTCCTATGTCGGCTCCGGGCATCCTGGCCAAGTACCCAGACTTCTTTGCGCTGGGCCTGGTGGTGGTCCTCACTGGTGATGCAGGGGTGGGGATGGGCTGGGGGGGGGGAGGAAGGAGATGGGGATGGGAACTGGGGTGGGGATGGGCCCCACATGGTCCCCTACAGTGTCCCTAGGTACACAGTATCCCCTTCCTGACTGGCCTCTCTCACCTCCCCACAGGGCTGCTGGCGCTGGGGGTGCGGGAATCGGCTCTGGTCACACGCCTGTTCACAGGGGTGAACCTGACTGTGCTGACATTCATCATCCTCTCCGGCTTCCTGAAGGGCAACTTGCGCCACTGGAGGCTCACCAGCCAGGACTACAAGCAGGCAGAGGCGCGCAACAGCTCGTACAGGTGGGGTGGCTGAGGAAGACAGGAGTGGGGAGGCAATGAGCAGTGGAGGGGGGCGGGCCTGAGCACTGCACACCTCTATGTCCCCCCTCTGTTTCCCTCCACAGCTTGGGGGACTTGGGCACGGGAGGATTTGCGCCTTTCGGCCTGCCCGGCATCCTCCGAGGTGCAGCCACCTGCTTCTTCGCCTTCATTGGCTTTGACTGCATTGCAACCACAGGTAGCTTGGTAGCCTGGGCTGTGTGTGTGGGGGAAACATGGGCTTCCAGAGGCCAGCTGATGCTGGGGGGCAGGCCCTAGCATGCCCTGTGTAGGACCCTCATTCCCCCCCCCCCGCCTGCAGGGGAGGAGGCCCGCCACCCGCAGCGGTCCATCCCGCTGGGCATCGTGCTGTCGCTCTTCATCTGCTTCCTCATGTACTTCGGGGTCTCCGCATCGCTCACTCTCATGGTGCCTTACTACCAGGTCCACACTGAGAGCCCGCTGCCCTTCGCCTTTGTCTACGTGGGCTGGGCTCCAGCCCGCTTTGCAGTAGCGGTGGGCACCCTGTGTGCACTCACCTCCAGGTGGGAAGAAGGTGGCTCCTAGCCTCCCCAGGGGGCTGAAAAGGGGGGGCGCCCCGTTCACTCCTATCCTACACAGCCCTGTCCACCCCCAGCTTGCTAGGCTCCATGTTCCCGGTGCCCCGGGTGATCTACGCCATGGCGGAAGACCGGCTCCTGTTCGGCACGCTTGCCCGAGTCCACAGCCGGACGCACACCCCCATCCTAGCCACTGTGATATCTGGGCTCATTGCAGGTGAGGAAGCATGAGTGCCCAGCCTTCTCCTCGCGTTCTGGGGCTGGTGATTCCCTAGGTGGGTGTCCGGCCCATGACCCCCGGCCCCACCTCTCTGTCTGTCTCCTGGCCCTCACTGCAGCAATGATGGCTTTCTTGGTGGAGCTCAGCGATCTGGTGGACCTCACCTCTATTGGGACCCTGCTGGCCTACTCCCTGGTGTCCTTCTCTGTGCTGGTCCTCAGGTAAGACCTCCCCCTGCCTTATCCTGGCTCCTGTGATGTTGGCTATGAGGATCACAGTTCGAAGCCGGCCCTGGGCAGGAAAGTCCTGAGACTCTTATCTCCAATGAACCATCAAAAGGCTGGAATGGAGCCACGGCTCAAGGGGTAGAGCATCAGTCTTGGGACAAAAGCTCAGGGACAGCACCCAGGTCCCTAAGTTCAAGCTCCAGGACCAGCATAAAAAACAAAAAACAGGACTGAGAAGGTGGCTCAGTGGTAGAGTGCTTGCCTTGCATGCATGAGGCCCTGGGTTTGATTCCTCAGCACCACATACACAGAAAAAGCCAGAAGTGGTGCTGTGGCTCAAGTGGTAGAACACTCACTTTGAGCTGAAGGGCTGAGGGACAGCGTCCAGGCACAGAGTTCAGGCCCCACGACCAACAAAAAAGTGAACTTTGCATTTGTAATGGATTCAGGTACCAGCCGGACCAGAAGGCAAGTTCTGAGAAGCGAGAGAGGGACACCGTGGAGATGAGGCCTGTGTCCCACACAGCCCCCCCAGAAGCAGCATCAGGAGGTGGGAGTGGGGGGTGCATGAGGCTCCTCAAGAGCCTGTGTCTCTCCTCGGACAACACCCCCACTCAGGCATCCGGCCGCGTGGTCTACATCTGTGCCTCACTGCTGGGTAAGCTCTGGACTTTCTCCCCGCACCTCCTACAGCCTGTGGTGTGGGCTGTGTTTCCCTGAGGGGGGATCTGGGGGGTGAGGGAGGGGAACCGGCAGTGAACACTGGAGGGGGGGGGTGGCACAGGCTAGGGGGAAGGGAGAGGGTGCTGGCAGTTGGGATATGGGCCCTGGCCAATCCACTTGGGCCTTGCTTCACCCTTCAGTTCTGTTGCTGACGACGCTGAGTCTGGTCCTGGCGCAGTGGCCCCAGCAGCTGTTCAATGGGGACACAGTGAATGTGGGGGTGGCAGCAGGGTTGCTGGGGCTCATGGCTGTGCTGACCCTGGTTATCTGGAGACAGCCCCAGAGTGGCGCCCATCTGCATTTCAGGGTAGGCCATGCCTGATCCCTCTCTGCCTGCATGTAATCCCACAGGGGGGAGGGAAGGGTGGAGGAGGGAGGGGTGGGAAGGGTTTCAGTTCTCTGCCCAGGCCTCCCCCCCCACTTTCTCCCCCTCCCATGGCACTGAGGGGCCCGGTTTGAGCCCTCTGCCATGCTTGCAGGTCCCGTTCCTGCCTGTCCTGCCCTTGTTCAGCATCTTTGTGAATGTCTACCTCATGATGCAGATGACCGCTGCCACCTGGACCCGGTTTGGGATATGGATGGTGATTGGTGAGTGGCTCTCTGGGGTGGGGGAGGGGAAGGGAGTTTTCTGGACACTGGACCTTCCTGTCCCATGTCCCTCCCCTCCCTCCACGTGCTGGCTTTCCATTGTACTGCCTTGCTTTTCCTGCCAGGATTTACCATCTATTTTGGATATGGGATCCGGCACAGCTTGAAGGATGAGCCGGCCTCCAGCCCGCAGCCTACCCAGGACCACCCCAGTGCCGCACTGGTGTAGCTACAGCCTCGGGACTCGCAGGACACACACAGTGCCCTCCTGTCCATGGAGGAAGGAGGCCCGTGGGCCAGGCCCTGGAACTCAGGACCCTGCGGTGCCACCCGGAGCATTTTTCTCATTTCTGGGGGCTAGGAATGGAGTTAAATGTTCTACCACCAACCGGTGGCACACCCGGCCTTCAACTGCCTTGCAAATGAATGAATAAAGATGGTGTACCTGGTGTTCGTGGTGTCCTGGTGTGGCCCCCGGGAGTGGGTGGATGAGGTGGGCCGCTAAGCCCTCCTCCCTTGGGCAGCTCCCTAACCAGTTGCACTGGGCAGATCGTGGCATCACACGCAATTTCTCTTGCATCTCACTCACAAAGGACACGGTTGTTGTAATGCACACACTCCGGGGCAAAGCCGGTGGACCCCTGCCGGGCCTGGGCGTGGCGCATAGCCGGTGGACCCCTGCCGGGCCTGGGCGTGTCGGCGTGTCCGCCTGCTCGCGGTCTGGGGAGGCGTCCCGCCAGCCCTCGGACTCCCCCGCCTTCCAGGCCCGCGGAAGGCTCTGTGGAGGATTTCCCACTTTACCAGGGTGCCCGGTGAACAGGCAGCCCTTCCTTGTTTTGGCTGCTGGCCGCACGTGGAGCAGCCGGGCCGTGTTTTACCTCCAGTCCGCGGCCCTGAGTGGCACCCAGGGCGATTGCGCCATGTTCCTGGGGTCCCGGGCAGCGTGGCGCCCCCTTGGGCTGGCGGGCGTGGCTTGTGGAGGGAGTCCCTGGATCCAGGGCGAGGGGATGGGGCAGGGTAGCAGCCCGGCACCTTTCCCCACCACGTGGGTGAGCGTGCGTGAGCTGTCCCGGCCGTGCCGCGTGGGCATGCGCGTGCCGCGCGAAGTGGGAGCGCCGTCAAGGAAGGCCTGGCCGCTGGCCCTGCGCCCTGCATGAGGGCGGGGGGCTCATGTGGATCGTGAGGCAGGGAAAGGTCCGGGCCGTGCGCGCGCGCGCGCCTTGCCGCGGTCGGGAACGCGGAAGGGCTTCCCAGTGCGCGCCTTGCCGCGGTGCGGCCGCGGCCGAGCGCGCGTGGGGTGCGGCTGATCTGATCCCCGCGGGAGCCATCGCAGAAGGCCTGCCCGCCATCCCCGTGCGCCCCGCCAGGCCCTATGTTCAAACACCAGGACGGGCGCAAAACACACAGAAACCGCGCTTGGAGGTCAGAGTCCAAACGAGTCCGAACAGAACCGGCACCAGCGCGCTGCTCGTTATCTCGGTGGCGGGCTGGGGTGGAACCAGGCTCTCCGCCCAGGTTCCAGGGCCTCGGGGTCGTCACGTAGACCCTGCCAGCCTGGGACGGCCGTGCTGCCATCCCTCCTGGGGCGGCCCGGCTCCCTGGGGAAACTGAGGAAGGCACTGCCGGGCCTACAGGTGGGTCCTCCATGGCCCAGACCACCGGCAGAAAAAAGCGGCCTGGGCGCCACCAACTCCATGTACTCTATAAACTTAATCTTGGGCGTTCGTGGTGCCCTGTGCCCCAGTCACCCCGGCGCCGTGCGGCGGAGGGGAGGAGGGAGGCAGGCTCCGGCCCGCAGCGCTCCCCACCCCCTCCGGGGGTGCGCTAAGGTCAGGGCGTGACCAGGGCCCCGGACCGGCAGGGCCGCGGGGCCGGGCAGCCCGGGGCGGGCGCCGACCGCGGCAGGCAGGTCAGAGTCACACTCACCCCTCACCCCGGGCTCAGGCCACCGCGAGCCCCGTGTCACGTCCCAGCACAGGTTTCTGTGCACAGAGGTGAGGCGGGCCAGGGCCGGCTCGTCCAGAGTCGAGGTGGTCACGGAGCCCTGGAGCCGGGGGCGGGCGCGGGCCCCTGCGGGCCCCGCCTGTCCTCCCTGTGCACCCGCAGCCCAGGGCAGAGCTCGCACGTAGTCACCCCGGACCCAGCACCAGCCAGAGGGGGGCTTGGGATGGGGGTGGGAAGCAAGGCGGACGTGCACGGCGCGGCAGGGTTGCGGCTCTGCTGACAATGGCCGCAGGTTCCCCGCCCGCCCTCCGTCCTATGAGGAAGGAATTCCTCTCACCGGGGGGCTTCAGCTTCGGGATGCTCAACTTTATCCGTCCAGAGGCTTTTCCTTTAGAACACACCAAACCTAAGTGGGAGTGTTGTGTCCCTTCATGCTCATACTCTTGACACCAAACACGTCCACGCGTGTGCACGCTCACAGCCTGGCCTGCGCCCTCGGCCCGGGCGGTCACGCGCCGGACACTGGGTCTGTCCACAGGTCCACCCACCCTGACCCGGGGTGCGGGCTGGGGTCACTCAGCCGAAGCCCCCAACAATCGCGCTGTTAGCCGGGTAACCAGGCCGCCTGCGCCACCGTCTGGCCGCAGCCTGCTGTTTTTTAAAGATGAAGGAACCAACCCGAGCATCGAGGGCTTAAACTCCGGGTCCGGCGCCATCCCAGGTTCTTTCGCCCCAGGCTGGCGCTGCACCACTTTGAGCCACCGCAGCACGGCTGGATTTCTGCTGGTTCCTGGGAGATAAAGCTCTGGGACCGGACGTCCTGCCTGGGCTGCCTTTGAACTCGGATCCTTAGATCTGATTCCGAGCAGCTGGGACCACAGGCCTGTACTGCACCACCGGCCGCACATCCGGGTGGTGGTGGTTTTTGGGTGTCGTTAGGGGCAAAACCCAAGGCCTTTCATAAGGACAGACGGTTCAGCATGAAGCCACGTGTCCCGGCCTGTTCAAAATCTGTGTGTGTGTGTGTGTTTCCACGCGTGTGTGTGGCCGCGCATGTGCGCCAGCACAGGATGCTTGCCGACTTTGAATCAACAAAAAAAGGCCGGAACGAGGCGAATCTTGGTGCAGTGCCAGCCTGGGGCAGAAAAGTACGAGCCGGAGCCCAGGAACCAGGCCATGGCTGCCACTGTGCACGCGCCAATTTTTAACTTCTAGCTGTCCAAGGGCCGCCAGGGCCGAGCGGTCATCCCGCCTTCCCGGCGGCATTGCCGCGGAGCGCCATCTCGCGGAGACCACGGCTCTCTGCGTCCTCTGGGGAGGAAGTCGTTTATCCCTCGCCCGTGCACCGCCCCCCAGTCCCCCACACCCCTCGGCCCCCCCCCCAGTCCTGGCCTGCGCCGAGGCCACAGCCCCTTTGGAACCACGTGTGCCGCAGGCCGGAAGCTGTCAGGCACTTGCCGCGCAATGCCGCGGCCGGCCAGCGGTGACGTCCGCAGCCTCGGAGGTGGGGCCCAGCGGCCCCCAGTGCGTGTACTCCACTGATGTGGAGACACGTGTCAATGGTGTCCGTGTCATGGCAGGCGCCATTGGTAAGGAGTTACTCAAACCAACAGAGGCCGCTAGTGAGGGTCATTGAAACCGCCCATCGGGAGGGGCCGGAAGCCGGCATTGTGGCAGCCGTGTTCTTGGACACCCAAGCCGGAACAAGGCTGTCCTGGATGCGCTGTCACAAAGGCTGCGCCCAGGGGCTCCTGGGAAATGCAGTCCAGACACTTGGAGGCGAGCGGGGAGGAGACCGACATTTTGTGTGTATGTGTTGAAGTCATTTGAGCCAAGGAACCGAAGTGCTTCTAAGTCATTTAATGAATACAAAGTAACAACTGGGCCATGGTGTCTGGATGTGTAAATGTGCTTCCTCTTCAGAGTACAGAACTGGAAGTTACCTGCCTCCACCTGGAATCCATTAACCACATCCTCCAGCCACTCAAGGTCACCAGCAACACCAACAGAGGCCCACTACAAAGATGTCATTCGTTTAAGGAGCCGCCCGGGCCAGGCGCCTGGGACCCGCTGGGCCCAAGCTGACTCTGGCTTTACAGGACAAACCTCAAAGAACTCACAGAGGTGCTGCCCTGCCAAGCAGTCCGCAGATCTATGCTGACCACGCCCCATCAAGACTCACATTGGTTACCCATCTGCAAACCTCCTCCCAGGCCCATGCTGGCCACACCCCTCAGGACTCACATTGGTTACCCATCTGCAAGCCTCCTCCCAGGCCCATGCTGGCCACACCCCCTCAGGACTCACATTGGTTACCCATCTGCAAGGTTCCTAAGGTTCCTCCCAGGCCCATGCTGGCCACACCCCCTCAGGACTCACAGTGGTTACCCATCTGCAAGCCTCCCAGGCCCACGCTGGCCACACCTCCTAAAGACTCACATTGGTCACTTCATTGGCCCGCGATGACCACACCTCCCAAGGCTCACAAAGGTGACCCCATTGTCCCAAGCTGGTCAGGTCTCCAAGAGCCCAAGCTAAGTGGGCCTCCTGCACCCCAACACAACTGCACCCATTTCAGAACCCGAGCTGCTCCCCACAGAAGCGCCCGTCGCCCAGCCCACCACCAACGGAAAATGATTAACAGTCATTCACTGCGCACCCTCAGCCATAGCTTAAATCCTCCTAGGCCGAGACCTCGGGGATCCTCCTCTCCTCTTCCCTCCTGTCCCCTCCCCAAACACCTGGAAAAGAACCAGTGCGCAGCGGCCTTACCCAGCCCACACGTCAGCTAAGAACAGATGCTGCCAGCCACTCTAGCTTCCATCCCTGCACACAGACCCCCGCCCTCCCATACCACCCCCGCCCTCCTGAGCCCTAAACGCCTGACCTCTCTGATCTCCGGCCCTCCCTAATGCAGGGAGACCTGTTTTGAGAGGGCCGCCATTGTCTTTCCACCAGCCTGGAAGACCGCGTTCCCAGTAAAAGACTACTGTTCCCAGTAAAAGCCCCAAATGGAGTTCGCTTTTCCGCCCTTTGCCTTCGTGACTCAAGTTTATTCCACCGCTCCACCGATGGTGCTGCCAGTGCTCTCCAGGTCCTCTCAACATTCCTTCCCGCTGCTCCTGGGGGAGAACCAGAACGCACTGGGTCCTCCAACCTTTTCATCCCTCCTTGCCCACTCGTGCCCAACCACGACAGCCAGCCACCCCACCCCACATCGCCGACCTCACAACTGTAAGCATGGTGGCGAGTTCCGGAACTCACTCTCTCCCAGCATGCAATGCT